TTTTCTTTTTCTTTTTTTTTTTTTTTTTTTTTTTTTAGGTAAATAAAAGTTGGAGCTGGAAGAGAAAGGGCGTTTAAAATGGCTCGTTTTAGAAGCTCCTCTTTCGTAAATATTTCAGCGACTGAACTAAATATTTAGTGACTTTTACCGTACAATCGATATGTTTTGTACAATAAAATGTTTCAGAGAGAGTGAAATGTGGTTTTTTTTATTTAACAATCGTGCAAAATATAAAGTTCTTTTTAGATATTCTTTGAAATATCTTTGCTGTAATCTCGTAGAAGATGACGTTCAAAAATATTTGACTTTGTTCACTTTAGAAGCTCTTCTTAAATACAACAATAAATAGGACAGACATTTCAATAATTAAGCTGTTTACAGTATATTATATAACAAGTGGTTTGGTAAATACAATAAAATATTTAGAAGATGAAACACTTTTTATTTAACAACAACAAGGTCATCTTTTTAAATACTTTAATATATAGAAATAGAAATATTCTATAGCACGTTCATAGTGAATAAGTTTCTGTTCTTTCTTAATACAAACAATCAGTAAACGATTAAACTGTTTATTTCTCTCATTACACGATACATCAATCAATACATTAACATGTGATAATAACATGTGTATGTATATGTGTACACTTTCGAGGCAGCGACTGTAGGCGCAGAAAGTCGAAAGGAGAATCGCATGATTGAAAAAAAAAAAAAAAAAAGAAAATGGCAAAAAACAATCGGAGGAACAAGGGCAGCCCAACATTTATCTTTTATCGTGCCCACTGTTATTATCAGAAGAATTCGGCAGGTTTATCGTTCGATAGCAGGACAGTATCCTTCCATTTCCAGTGCCCGCCCGAACCGTGTCCCCGGCATCGAATCGTGGCACGTACCCGGGGCATAAATCTGACAGCCGTAGGAATCTATGAACAAAAGTGGAGCCACTTACATTCGCGTAAAGTAAAATTTATGGAGGGTGTGGGCATATAAATGCGCGACGTTCCATAAATTTCGCTGTTGGACATGGCGGTGGCGCCGAGACAGCCGAGAGAGAGAGAGAGAGAGAGAGAGAG